TTTTATCTCTTTCTTTTCATGTATTCTAGATAACATTATTGCTCTACCCTGCACAGACAAAAATCAGATCTGTGCCAGAAGATTCTGACCAGCTTTGACAGGTTGAGGTGAAATTAAATTATCAAGAGAACTTAACATCTACTTAGCTGCCCAGGTTTCTTTAAAGAAAGTGCTGAGCAGCTCATTTCAAGGTGCTTTGAACCGACTATCAACATAAACTAAGCTCTTTCAGTAAGTAGGTACTAAACTACTAGCACAGCTCAGGTGGGCTTGGGAAAAGGCCGACTAGCATGAAACAAACTAATCAAAGCAAGAGGGAAAATTACGTACTTTGACTGATGCCTTTGACCTGTGCCAAGGTATTTCCTGGAAATGCTCTATACTGTATATTTCAGCCTTACCACGTAAAATCTATTCTCCCAAATGCTCAAAGCTGGTTTTGTCCAGTGACACAGCATCCATAACAGGGTGAGGTGTAATCTTGCAAAGACTTTGGCATGCACATAAAGCTAAGCACAACTTCAGAGCCTTTAGTAAGACTTCTCAGTATGTATAAAGTTAAGTACATTCATACATCTTATCAGGATGGTGGCCAAAGATTATAGAGGCATCCAAGCTGGTTGATATAGTCAAGCCTGTTCTGTGGCACGTCTATTTTAAACTTGGGTCTTCTGGTTTGTGTCTTAAAAGGTCTACATGTCTTAACTGATCTGCAGAACAAATCAACTTTGCAAAGTGAAAACAGTTTAGCCTTGATAAATGAATACAAAACACAAAACAGCAACTCTCCATGGTTCACATATATCTACAGTCACCACACAAAGGCAAGGAATTGACTGAATCCTTCTTAACCAAGCAAATAGCTTTACCAGCAAAACATGACAAATTGCCTGTGAAAAAAGTCACTGGGATGCTGGCAGTCAGGCAAGCCCAAAACTTTATTAACAGGGTAACATACAATAGTCTTAACCATAGCTATAATTACTTGATTATCTAATTGGACAGAAACCCCTTTTTAATGAGTAATTCTGTTCTCATTCCAATGGTATTTTTCCTCAGTATTCCTTAAGATTTAAAGCTTGTTAAAAATTGTTCTAGGTTATAAAACAAATCCAGCCACATATTACAGACAATTGTACCACTCCACGGGCATTTTCTTTACACTTCTGATTCTTCATTTTATTTTATTTTAGGAGAAAGAAACAATAACTTTTCACCACAGTAATGAAGAATGAGTAATATCAGAACAATTTGAGGGGCAGTGCCTGGTTGCTAACAAATGGGCAAGAATACCACTAACAAGACTATTTATAACCAGGGGTATTTAAACTCATTTCACAACACTTGTAAAAAATAAAATTAGTGATAGGATGGTCTTCTATGTTCATTTACTAAATTTAAGCCTGGGGCAAATTTTGTCCATGAAATAAAACAGGAGGTAGATGCTCACATCGTTTAGGTTGCCAGAGCTCCAGCAAAGGCAGAGCTGTAAGAGTTTACATTAGTTGGCAATTTGCTTCCTGAAAAGTGCAATTAACTCAGGAGGCTTTAAATATAGTTCTCATGACTTAAAGGCCCTCAAATACAATGCCAAAATCGTGAAATTTAGGAAGAACACTTATGAACAGTTACATAAATACAGGTAAAGCAGAAAAGAGGAAATCGGGACAGGGGAATCAAAGTGGCTGGAAAAGGTATCCAAAAGGATGGGACAATTTTAAAGAAATTGTTTAACTACTGAATCACAGCTTTCATTAAGCCGTACAGAATGGCCACTTCCCAAGAAAAGCCACAGAAAGGAAATATCATTAGAAAGCTTATGACTCTGTGAGCCCATCCTTACATTCAAGGCAGCAAACTGTTGCACTGTATTGTTGAGCAGGATGTAAAGAGCCTGCCAAGCACAGCCCACAGACCCGCTAATTAAGTGAACTGATTGTGTTTGTTTTGGAACCGTTTGCCAACAAAGGAATGTGTCATGCTGATTAGTGAGAGAAGGGTATGTAATATATGTGCATTCAAACCCTGAGGAGTGCATAACCCAGGTATTCACTCTGTTTGCTCAAGGACTGACAAAAATTACTCTCAAGCAAATAACCTGACCAAAGAGAAACTCCAGCCCTCAAGAGGGGCCCTCCTTTTCTCTCAGCTGCATCTATCTAAAGAAGACCCATCCTTCAAAAATTCCTACTGAAGACTGCTCCAGAAACTTCTGAGAATAGTTTGGAGAGAAGCAATCTCTCCACCTCAAAGCTGACCTAAGAGACCATGAAGATGGAAAGATAACAACGAGCTGAGAACCACCTTGGAATTAAAAGGCCTCTCTGACAGCTGTCATTCTTCTCTTCAAAGAGCAAGAAAGGTCAGGGAGGTAGCCAGAGAAACAAATGCCAGCTCAACACAGACACACACACACACAGACTTTGCTTTTCAAACATTCAACAGAGAGGTAAAGTTTGCAAAAGCTGTCATGCACCCACTTTTGAGTATTTCTAACCAAACAGCCCAGTTTGCTGGTAGAATTAGCAGCATACTTAAAAGTGAATGAGCAGCACTGAAAACCAAGAAGGAAAAACATGGTCTTCAGACCTCAGCTGCTCTTCCCTCCTTAACTCAGCAGCTACAGCCAGGGTACTTGCCTGTCTTCTATTGAGTACAAAATGTGAATACTGTGCTGTAGACAGCAAATCCAGAAAACCAGCATGGAGAAAGGAAATCACAGTCAACTCTCACTGAACATTTGGACTCAAAATAGCACAACCAAATGACAAATCGGAGCTAATTGTTTACTCGGAGCTGTGTATAACACTTAGCTAACAAGGAAAGCTGAACACATCATCAGAAACTTCAGGTATAATTTCAAGTCTTCCCACAAACCTTTTGTGAGTTGCCATTCCATCTGCCAGATGTTACACTGTACATCCACCTATTTCTGACTAGCCTCCTCACCTTACACTTGTCACCGTAGTGGTCTGCACACCTACCTCAAAACTCTCTTATGTCTAAGACGTGGAAACAAACACAAAACCCCTCTATCTGGCCTTCTCCCTCACTGCTTTATGGCTGATGGAGCTGGACGGTAAAACAGACAAACTCCTCTGCTGGCATTACTTGCCTCCAGCCTGAAGGTGGAAAAGAGAAAAAATATGGAACTGAAATAATCTGGTTAGTTTCACAGAGGTGCATGTGCACACACCAGTACTAATGAGACCAGAAAACTAACTAGGAAAGGAAATGGAAAATGCTGGGGATAAAATCAAGGTTTAATGATAAGGAGCACATAATGAGTAAGGAGAATGACCCCTGACAAAATAAGAAAGAAAAATATTGGAGAACGTTTTGTGCTGATTGTGTTCTAATTAAAGTCATTAACAAAGACTGCTGTCTTTGGCATGACATCAACCACGACTCCGTATTTGTGAAACAAGAACAAAAGTCCTTTCTGGCTTCTAATTCACACAAAACCAGGAGCTAGAGCAGCTTCTTTCCGCTTTTGCTGAGCTGCTGACAAATATTATTTGATTCCAGAAGGGTTTATACTCTGTAATTGCAAGGTATTGTCTGATCTCAGCTGAAGGGCAGGGGAACAATATACACCCAACAATGTTTTTGTGACCAAAAATCCTCCAGACAAATCAAATGCACAGGCATTTCAAGTAAACCTGTCTTCCTGTCTTCCCAAATGCTCTTAAAACTTCTCATCAATCTTTGAGGAATATCTTCAATTGCCCCTTATACAGTCTCAATAGACATCTTACGTTTTATGTCATCTTAGTCTCTTTCTAACCCAGCCTTTTTAACTACCATGCACCCTAGATACATTCCTTCTCGAACACCGGTTATAGAGCTCAGCCGCACACCTTGTTTAGCTTATGTCCACTGCTTTGTCAATGCAGTTTTTAGAATGAGAGTCTGAGTTTAAAAAAAAAAGAATGTGCAAACAGTCTTTGAAATTCAGGTCAGGCTGAAAATCCCCAAAGAAAAGTGCTTGGTTACTTGTAATTTGACATCTTTGTGCACACAGGGGAATCAGATTCTTAATGAAGCCCTTTCAACAGGCTGGTCCTGATTGTTTCCAAAGGTGGCTCTTCAATATTTTTTCCCTTCAGTGGAACACTTTGGAGAACAAATTAAAATGACCGTATTTGAAGCAGCCAGAAAAGTACTTATCTGTGGAGGAATGCTGTGCTGTCAGGTGGACTGTCCTTCTGGTGAGCTTAAGAAAAAATATCACCTTTATTTGAAATACAAGACATTTTTGAAATGCCTTGTATTTTGTATTGCAATTGCGAATTGTATTTATCAATGCAGCAGTAGTACACTGCTGCATTGCCAAGACTGCTCCGTTTTCCTGCATTTCGCTTCTAGGTTTCCCATGCAACTCCTGTCCCTGATCTGGCACCCAGTACTCCGTATAAAGAGAAATAAAGGTTCTTTTGTTTACCTTGGGAATGGCATATGCTTATAGTTATTTTGTATCCACCTGAGAATAGCAATGCCATTTACAAAAAATGAAATCTTACATACAGAGGCACAGAGGAGTCTGCACACAGAAAGCAGAGAATTAGCCAGAACATCATGGGGAAAACACTGCAGAATAGATGGTTATTGTTTTATAATGGATAACCCCAATACATCAGGGGCCCAGTGTCATCAGATACCAGAAGGATGTCTGTGATCACTTTAGCGAATCCATTTGGGTTTTTAGGGCACTTTGCAAACTCAGAACAGCTTTGGATAAGTCATACTGGGCCATGCTAGTGGGGTCATTTCCCTTTTTCAACAGTTGTTCTGAGATTCACAAGGTTTTGGGAAATAGCTCTTTGTATCTATTGCGAAGTCCACTCGTGGTGGCCTCCCTGAACCAGTAATTGAGTGTAGCTGATCAGAAACATGCATTAGTGGGATCCAGTTCCCAGTTATTTAAATAAGAGGTCATGAGGCTGAGAATCTGCAAGAATACCATACAGGAGTCAAACATATGACTGACATGACAGTACCTGCTTGTAGAAATGTCCTCAAAGGGGTAAAGGATTTCTCCATTGTTGCAAATCTCACAAATGAAACCCTTTTGACTACAAAGGCTGCAGCTGTACACATGAGAGGTGGCAAACTTGATCACCTTCCCCAAGAAAGGAGCCAGCTTTCCTTCAATAACCTGAAATGAGGAGAAGACAATACTGATTGACAATAACATGCAAGATTAGTAGTCATTTTAAATACAACAATATATTCATAGAATCACAGAACAGTTAGGGCTGGAAAGGACCTTAAGATCATCTAGTTCCAACCCCCCTGCCATGGGCAGGGACACCTCACTCTAAACCATGTCACCCAAAGCTCTGTCCAACCTGGCCTTGAACACTGCCAGGGATGGAGCATTCACAACTTCCCTGGGCAACCCATTCCGGTGCCTCACCACCCTCACAGTAAAGAATTTCTTATATCCAATCTAAACTTCCCCTGTTTAAGTTTTAACCCTTTAGCCCTTGTCCTATCAGTACAGCCCCTAATGAAGAGTCCCTCCCCAGCATCCCTATAGCCCCCCTTCAGATACTGGAAGGCTGCTATGAGGTCTCCACGCAGCCTTCTCTTCTCCAGGCTGAACAGCCCCAACTTTCTCAGCCTGTCTTCATACGGGAGGTGCTCCAGTCCCCTGATCATCCTCGTGGCCCTCCTCTGGACTTGCTCCAACAGTTCCATGTCCTTTTTATGTTGAGGACACCAGAACTGTGAACTTAGTATTCATACAGTAAGGCACAAAATATAATATTCATATACTAAGGCACAAAAAAGTAGATAAAGAGCTAAAGGCTTCCATCTTATCTAACTGACAGCAATGGATACTGTCTTACATTTACGATTTTCGGTTCTTGTTATTTTTTATGCACAGATCACAGTTTTGTCTTTGTTCCTTTTCCTCCAAACCACAAGTTTTTAACTATCTTTTTGTGAAAAGAACCCTGGGTTTCCTCCTTTAGTAATGTTGTGTTTCCCACTAAAAACCATTAAAACACAATATTCCTGTCGTTGCCAAAATGAATGAATTCTCAGATAAAGTCTTGAATAGGAACTGTTTTCTTCCCCTTCAGTGTCCAGCTCTCAAATCCAGAAGTCCCTCAGTGCCAGACAATCCTGCCTAGGCCATTAGAAGTGATTAGCACTCCCGGTGCTGGTGTGAAAAACCGGCCATGAAGTATAGATTCAACTGCTAGCCACAACACTCATCGAAATTTGTGACTTGGTGACAATGCCTCAACAAGGGGTGCTATTCAGGCAAAATACTTTCCATTCACATCAAACTTCCAGAGACTTTAAGGAATTCTGCTGGTGGAGGGAATAATGAAGATGGAATAAGGCCCCAAGCGTATATTCTTCTCTCCTAAGCTTCCTGTGGTCTGAATAGCTGCCTGCAAGATTAGTGATAGAAATGTTACAGGAATTGATAGTGAACTCCTATAAAACGGAAAGAGAACACAGTAATTGCTGATTGAAGACTTGCACAGGGCCCTGCCCTAAAGCCTCAGAATGAGGAGATATACACTTAAACATGTGCTAGATTCAGTTCAAGCACCCCTTCCCTAAATGTGGTAACAAACCCCTTGTAATTTGGGTTCAATGTAAACAAATCTACAGAAAGCAAAGGTCAAGGCAGAGAACAACAACAGAGATTTTGGAAGGACTCCTTCCGTGTGTAACATAAAACAGAAATAAACTTGTGCTCCAGGGTAGCCAAGAGGGCACATGAAAAAGGAAGTAGCATTGATGTTGATGGCATCGAATAGCATGGACTGAATTGTGCCCCCTCTTTGCTTTCACTTCTAGCCTGCTAACAACATCTGCAACAACAGGAAGTGGAAATGTTATTGCTAGTACTGCAGATAGGACATCTGCTCATGTTAGAGGAAAAATGACGTTCCTATTGCATCCTGGTATAGGAAGATCCCCTTCAACCAGAATATAAACAATGCAGAGAAGCTGCTGCATGAAATATGAACTCATAGTTCAAGGCAGTGGTATCACCAACCTTCTAACAGATAGTCAGAAGTTAGTTTAGCTCCCCTTGACTGGATTTTGTCTTTCATCTTAGAGAAAGAAATGTTCTGCTTGCAGACTCCAGTGTTACAGAGGGTCTGAAAGCCGAACAAGTTGGGAGAAGGGGAAATACACAGAAGCTAACAGTATTCAATAAGCAGGAGGAAAGAAACAGTGAAGCCACACAGGCCGTGACAGCGTGACAGTCACCCTCCAAAAAGCCATTTAGCACTAACAGATGAAGTATGCATACAAAGCTAATAAAAACATATTTCCCAAAGCATTTTCATGCTCCAGCAACCAGCTCTGACAGGCCACAAGCACTCAGCTTAAAATGCCAGGCTGAAGACAGAGCTGCAAACAAACTCTGAGTCTGTACTAACATCACTGTCATCAAGGACTTTTGTTAAAACTCTGAATTAAAATCATGATAATAAATATATAATAATATAATAAACAAAATTAACATACTATATTACCTTCCTAAGCACCAGGGGTGAATTTAAGTCTGTCCAAGGTTTCCTATGAAGAGCTCACAACCTAAGCAAGACAGACTGAGATTGGGCAGCTGCCCCTGAGGAGCTGGTGTTATTTGCTCCTATTGATTTATTTATTTGTATGGCTTGTTGTAGCACTGTAGAGGGTTGGTTTGTAACTCTGGCCACTGCAGACATATAGTGAAGATGGTATCTTCAAAGAGACATGCATGCCAATTTTGCAATGTGAATTATAGGCCATTTTACTATATTATAGGAGGAACACAAAATGCAACATCAAACTGATGTTATCACTATTTTTAGCATCTGTAAATTTTGTGTCATTTTGTTTCATCAGAGACCTCAAGGCTGTGCACAGGATGCAACTTTTCCATGCAGCACCTTCTCTCATTTGTGTTTGTAGCTAAGAATAATAAAATCCTCATATCCATTTACCCTGGCAAGCAAAAAGGAAGATTTCTACCTTCTGTCCCCAAGAGGAGTTTCATGGTAACACTTCCACAGTGAGTGTTTTATGGCTTAGGAGAAGGAGCACAGGACATGTAATCAAAGGTGACAAAAACACTCCTGTGACTTAGCACTCTCTTGTCACAGCCAGAAGACCAGGGTCAATCAGTTTAGACATCCCAGAACCACGATGTCAGAGTCCCAGGACATTCTCCCAGTTGATGCTGCAATGTGATTTTGAGTTAAAGGAAACACAAGTGATTAAAGAATAGAAGTGTGTTAAATGAATGTAATGCATTATCCAGATATCCGGGAAATCATGGAGGGAGGGTGTACATGTGAAAGACCTCAAGAGGACATCTTGGCAGAGCCAGTAACATCTATGTCATTCTTTACAGCTCTACCTGTTACTAAAGCCTTCCAGTAACAGAGACTGCACAGCCCACATGCTGTCTAACCCAGCACACACCTGTTCACACTGTTGGAGGCACTCCTAAGCTTTGACCCAAAACTCTCCTAAGGACATTTCAGTTTACAAAGTAAGTTTACAAAACAGAGAAACTGTGAAATCACACACTACAAGCTGCAGAAGTCCATCACATTTATTGAATTGTGACAACTTAGCACAGTTAAGTTAAGAATATGCCAAAGGAATAGAAACCAAAAATGTCAGCATTGACTTCTCCCTGGAGCATAATAGTCTTGATACCTGAAAAGGCTTAAAAATATAATCCTGCGTAAAAAAAAAAAGAGCATCAGACTTAAACTAAAGTTTTTCAAAGTTCAGATGCTTTTCTACCTACAGCTCACATGAAGAGCAAGGTCTGTTTCTTAACCCAAATTCTTTGTAGTGAAAGCAATTGTTTCATTGACCAAAATTAAGGATGAAATAGTGGTTGGTCCTGGTCATCAACTGATGGAGGATGCAATGCAGCTTTTTCTTCCTAAACTAGTCAAGGAACCTATCCCTAAAGAATTCTGGACATGGGGCCATGTTTACAGTGAGCTTACCACTGCTGCACCTGGAATATTCTGGGATATGCTGCTTCATGACAGTTGTGTTCAGAGGCTGAAAGCAAGTTGTGTCTCTGAAAGGCTCCAGTGTTGAGATCAGAATCACTGTTCACCTCTACGGATCGGGAAAAACACTTCTCCAAGCTACCACAGCACAGAAAGCCATGGCTTGGCACACTGCGGCTCCTAACTGCATGTCTCACACTAGGACTTGTATAAAATACACACCCACCTGTACACACATAAAAGACAGGCCCTGCCCTCAGAGCACTTGTAATTTAAATCAACAAAACAAATACTACTTTTTACACTAACTGCCACGTATCTCCCACCCTAAGTGGGACAAATCGTGTTTTGGAGGAGCATCCCAGACAGGCTCCCTGCCCACACTGCAGAGAGCATCCCTCTGGCCAGAGCATGGCTGCAGGGGCAAGGGCTGCTTGGGAGGCAAGAGGAGAAGCCAGGAAAGCCAGCAGGAGCAGCAACCTGCCCCACTGCCCAGCCTCCTGCACCCAGATTGGAAAGCTGAGGTGGTATGGGGAAGCAAGAGGGGAAGGCAGACACTTGTCTGCAGCAGTGGAAGAAACTAAAGGGGTACGCAGTAGCTGAACACATGCCAAAAGGGCGTTGGGACAATCATTTTAGATGATTTCTAGAACAGAGGCTTTTCATACAAGTTACGAATAAAGGTAAATTAAACTTTCTTCTCTGTGTATCGTTGTGCTACCACTCACTTGGGTAGCAGTATAAATCCAAAGAAACAGTTATGCTCTGTATGAGGTGGGGAGGAAATACGGGGACTGCCGAATTTTAGCATTCAAGCCAATGTTGGCAACAGCACCGAGAGCCTTGGGCGGAGGGAAGACACGATTCACATGCACTGAGTTATGTTTTTCCTGATTCAGCAAGAAGACAGAGAAGATGAAAGGCAGCAGGGGCTATGGAACAAGTTGAAATCCCTTTGGATGCATCACACTAATATGATCATGAGGGCAATGTGTGATCAGTCAAAGTTTAACTCCTCGTCAGGAGCGCGGCTGGCCCCCAGAGGTTTCCTGATCCTTTTATCCAAAGACTGCAAACTACTCATAATACTCTCTTCTATCAAGGTGATGTTTCAGAAGCAAGTGGGCAGCCAGCTATCTCCAGAGAATAACTGGGAAGG